ATCGAAAATGGACTTAAACAGAGAGCTGTAGCTCGGCAACTACATATGACACGCGGAGCGTTTCGAAGAGTATGTGAACGATATGAGGAGACTCGATCCTTTCGTAGTCGACCTAGAACTGGTAGAAAGAGATATACAACGGATCGTAATGACCGCTTTATTGTGTCAACAACGTTAAAAAATCGGCGTCTTAATGCTATTTAGGTGCAACAGTGCAAACAGCTCCGTGAAACACGAGGAGTAACTATTAGTTAGTGGACAGTAAGACGAAGATTGAAGGAAAGTAACATGACCCCCAAAACACCAGCAATTGGTCCAAAACTTACCCCAGCTCATCGTCAAGCACGTCTGCGTTTTGCACTGGAACATCTGAATTGGACACTAGAACAATGGGAATCTGTTTTATTCTCAGATGAGACCAGGATATGCCTCTATGGTAGCGACCAAAGAAGAAAAGTGGACCGGAGGCCAGGTGAGCGATTCACAGAATGCTGCATTGAGGAGCGGATTGCTTATGGAGGTGGTTCCTGCATGATCTGGGATGCAATTTCTATGACTGCGCGAACCGACCCGGTTTTCATCCGTTGAGACGACCGTCGTCGGCACGGGAGAGGAGGTTTAACTGGTGCTATATATATTGAGGAGATTTTAGCAGTTCATGTGGTACCTTACGTCGACTACATTGGAAACAAATCACTTTTATGCATGACAATGCGAAGACACACATATCAAGAATCGTACACGATTACATTTCAGAAGTCGGATTTCAGGTTATGGAATGGCCAGCATGCAGTCCAGACTTAAACCCGATAGAACATTTATGCGATGAGCTAAAACGAAGAATTCGTACTAGACGAAGAGCCCCAACTTCTATCCTAGAGCTCATTGTTGCAGTAGAGGAAGAGTGGCTTAACATCCCGCAAGAAACAATATCAAATTTGATCGAATCTATGCCAAATCGTATGAGAGATGTTGTTAGAGCAAGAGGGGGTCATACCCATTATTGAAAATTCAGTTTAGTTAATTGTATTGTCCATAAATAAATAAATAAATAATAACATAAACGAAAAAAACGATAATTTCTTTCATGCATTAATTTAATAATTTTATTCAACAACCAAAATACAAATTAATATCTCTAATCGACAAATAGATTCAAAGACAATAATAAAATTTGATCTTCAAATAGCATGTGACTTTGCACGCAAATGTAACTAAATAAGGTTAGTGACTTTAACCAAAAGCGAAGGCCGATTTCTATGCACGCAAGTGTATATAAAAAAGGTTAGTGTCTTCTTTAAAAGCGAATATCGATCTAAAAAAAATAAAGCCATTGAGGTGAATCGAAAAACAAACTATCGAGAAAAGACACGCCTAGACGACAAAATTATTTTTAAATTCTTTGCTTTGTTAACGTACTCCACAGGACGTTACAAACTTTCACCAAAATATCAACATCTTGTTTTCTCTCGTACCATTTACAGACGGCAACTTTTATTTTTAATTTAAAAAGAAATACTGAAAAGTCAAATAATTTAGCTACAAATTGCTTAAAATATCGTCAAAATCGGCCAACTAGAACAAAATACATAAAACTTCAAAATACATGGAAATTTTAAGGTGCTCGTTTTTCGTAGGTACCGGTTAGTGTACTAAATGAGAAAAGATATTATATATTATAATGCCAGGACATTGAAGCAGTAGTGAAAAAAATGATCCCCGACTATTATAGTATTAATGTATTTTTTATAGGTAAAATTACAAATTAAAAATCCAAAATTTTAAAAAGTAGTTTTCTAATAGCAACAAAGTAGGTACGTATAACTGCATTTCCATTCAAAATAATGTCGCTGTTTTTCTCAATTAAACACAATCGCAATTCACAAAGTTCTAAAAAAACTTAGTGCTGGTTTTTATTACGTTGGTTAAAAATAGTTCATCTTTCTTCCATTTTGAAAAAACCATCTGCACGATATTTATAACTTTTTGTTCGGTCAAAAAATACACGTGTCATAAATGTGTGTCAATTATTCCAGACTTTAGAAGCGAAAAAAACTTGTTAAAAATTGCTTTAAAGTTGCACTGTCTGTGACGTCTTATATTTTTTAATCTTACGTAGGAGGTGCTTGACACAGATAATCGTTCGACTTGTTAAAAGTAGATGTCAGTTAATGTTAGGCAGTAAAATTTTCATCGAAGCCATAAACTTTGATCTTATTTCGTCAGTAGTATATCTATGTTATTTAAACATTCAATATATTAAGCTTTAAATTTGCTTTAATAAAATAAACGTTAGAAAGTAACAGAAATATAGTGGAAATTAATTAAAGCTATTGTTGGATTTTCGTTGGAATACCGAGATTAATACATAAAATTAATCATTCATTCTGTCAATCTAACTGAAGCAGTCTAACTGATTCAATGTTACAAATGGACAAATAATGAACGTCGACACGTTTTCAGTGAAACTGAACAGTATATTCATACTTTCAGTGAACTTACAGTAAGTTCTACTTTTGTTCATTTTGACAGAACCAAGTTTTTCCAAGTTTTGAGAAAATATTGACCGAATTGACTTTAATTGAAACAGGTGAAACTAATTATTTCTAATCTGTACCCTAGAAGCAAACTATGTTAAGTCCAAAATTGGCATAGGGGCGCAACTAGACACATAGTTTTGGGGGCTTAGGTCACTATACGATAATATTTCTAAGGATAAAAGCCAATTTTATACGACCCGCATCATTCTCCTGGGGGGGGGCTAAGCCCCTAGTTGCACCACTGGTTGCTTTTTTCTCGTTTTACCAACCACCCACCCAGCTTTGCTCTTTCTCGTTTTACCAATCTCTACCAATAAAAAAAATAGTCGGTCACGTAAACGCAGTTTGGCCCAAACATCTTTGATTAGTTTAGTATGTTGTGTCACGGGTCTATAGTGACGAAAAATTGATTTTGACAGTTTTGCTATTTAGGGTAGTAAATTTAAACTTAATAAAGATAATAAATTGGTTCCAAATTGCAACATACGTTCCTGTTTTGCAATTCCCCTGTTAAATATTTTCATATTATACCAGTACTTAATATACTTTTATTTTTATTTTTTTAATATAAGTTAAGCTTAATATAAGTTAACTATTGTTAATCTTTTTTTTAATATGCAAAAAATTATGTTAAGTCGCTCAAAAAATGTTGGTATTTGTAAATGTATTAGTAATTTATAGTGATGGAATAACTCGAGCAAAAATTCGCTAGAGTACTCGATTATTGAAATAACCGACATCGTAACAATTATGAACGACTGATGCAAGTGACGAGTTCCGAGTAACGAACGCAAGCGATCCTAGAATGAAATAAATTGAAATCCGATTTTAATGTGACATACTCGATAAAAAGCCGAGCGAATTTTCTACATACATTGCAGGTAGCAGAATTTATATGACGTTATCCGTTGCGTATCTGAGTGACAAAAACTTTACGACCTACACCGACAATGCTTTGAAATGAACGAAATCGAATTATTCGTCGCTCGTCTTGATACTTACCATTCATCACCCCCCACGCAAATTACTGCTTGGCGCTTGGCGTTAACGAGTACTTACAACAAGCGACGGACGAAAAAACGGTATTTTTAAATACGAGCGATATATCGCCCAAGCGATCGCTAGATTATTGCAATCGCTTGAAACTCGGAGTACTCAATAATTAATCGGGTTTTCCCATCACTAGTAATTTATTTAAAAACTGTTTATATTTGATTTAAGTTCAAAATAAGTTGTTCATAAATCTAATATTTCAATAATTATAGGTTTAAAAATAACCGAGTAATTAGAAAATGGACTTCAAAAATTAAAATGAAAGTTCTAGAATGTTTATTTCATTTTAGTACTGATGTGTTAAACAGTAACTGTTTGATCAAGCTCGAAACAACAATGTAGCAATTTATTTTTGAGTAACTTTATAGAAGAGCGTGTATAGATGTATATGTATTTTAAATATAAATATTTTTATAAAGTGCATTCTTTGTGATTACAATGCCCAATGATCTTAATTTGTAAAGCCTTATTATGCAAAGGATCATCTCATCACTAAATTTGAGTTTTTTTTCGAAATAAATTTCAGAAAAAAATAAAAAGTATATCTCTGAGAAAATAATAAACAAGCAATCATATGAATATACGATAAACGTAAAAAAACTAAAACGTTTTTTTGTTCAAATAGAGATATCTTAATATTCTTTTATAAAAATTAATTGATTAAAATTGTCTCTACTCTATTCCCGAAATAACCCGAAGTAGGTTAAGATCGAATAATGAAGATGGATATTTCGTATTTGCTCGCCTAACTTTGCCTGGTCCCTGCTTATTTTTAATAGACGAAGATACACGAAATACCCTATTGGGGGTAACCCTCTTCAACATTCGTCTTTGACCTACTTCGTTCGACCTATTCGGCGAACAGTGTAGTGGCCGTTTGAAATTAACAATGCATTATGGTGAATATTTTGATCATTAGCCAATATACAGGGTGTCCCAGAAATAAGTGCAAGTATTTTAAGGGGTGGTAGATCTCCCTTTGTTGTTTTTCAAATAAGTCCAAAATAACGGAGTTATTTTACTTTGAAAATTTCAAAAAAAATAAATTTTTTGCTAAAATGTTGAGAACCACTGGATCTTTTCTGGATTTTCTTTCTTGTAAATTTAATCTACTACCTATGTTGCCATATTATCAAGAAATTGTTGTTGTTGTTTTGAAAAAATTCCTAAATTTTTTCAAAAAATTCCGAATTTTCAATTTTTTTTTGGCGAAAAAACACCTCATGGGCCTGATTCTGGGGTGAACTATACTCCCAGTTAAAATACTTACACTTATTCCTGAGACACCCTGTATTTAGCGGCAATATTTATTTTTAATAAAGGGATAAAATATTTCACATGACAAAAAATAAAATCTCTCTGGCGCTTTTTTTCACTTGACATAAAATTACCTGGTTTCTAAAGCATTCTATATTTGTCAATAAGCTCTTGATTTATCTGAAAATGAGGCTAGATAAATTTAATTATATTTCTCATCGCAATTAAAACAGATATTATCAATTTTATTTAATATAAGGAGTCTCAAAATACAAACATTTTAATAATTATATTAATTTATGCTCATAATTTTTCTCTATATTTTTATCTGCAATATTACCCACTCTAGTTTGGTACACTATATTTTTGTTAGGTCTTATAGGTTATTCAAGTAATAGTGCGTCGGCATCAGGTTTCTAGAATAAAAAACTTGGAAACATTAAAGCGTAAATCTTTAAAAGTATGGGCGAGATCTCAGAAAATATTTTATCTTATAGGGTGGCTCTGTGTGTGAGGATCTGGATGTTTAGTTTGGAACACCCTGTACATTCTCATCTTTGGCTTCTTGGGATCGCTTTACATAATCCAAAGATGAGCAAATATATTTCGGTAGTTTCACAGAGATAGTTAAAATGAATAAAAAATATATATTTTCAGCCCTTCTTTAAATATATTGGAAATGGCAGAACCACCTTGGAACAGCATATTGTAGGCATTTTTACTTTAAATCATTTGTTTACTTTTGTTGGTAATATGGTAATACAAGATATGTACAGGATGTTCCATATTCTACGCCAAACTTTCTAAAAATATAAAATATTTTTTTGTTTTTAAATGGAATACTGTATATTATTTTCTTTTTGGCTAGACAGAGAAGCGTACAGATTTTTTAGTATTTAAAGTATTTCAAAATTGTTAGTTTTGCAGATACATGCAATATTTCATATGGCGCTTCTTCTCTTAATGGTAAAATGCGAGATAAAAATCATTGGATGGCTTTGATAAAATTGTGTAAAACTTACTGTGGAAAAGCTTCATATATGAAATATAAAACTGCAAATATCTGCGAAACTGTTAAAATTTTAACGAATTTAAATTTATGAAAAAAAATGTTTATTTTTTAATTCTCCATCTATTGAAAAATAAAGAGTGTTCCATTTAAAATAGAAAATATGGAAGAAAATTTATTTTAGGGAGAGTTTCGGCGTAAAATTTGAACATCTTAGCACTTTACGATTTCCGATATATTTAGCAAAGTAAGTACATACCATCTTGTAAAAGTAAATACCTAATATAGTTTTTTTTTTTTTTTTTAGTTCTTTTGTTTTATTAATAATTTTTAAAAAAGTTTTTTTAAAAATTTATAATTTATTTATTTATTAATATCACTGAAACTATCAAAACATATTTAATAATATTTTTAGGATTATGTAAAGTGACTGTGAAAGGAAGCCAAAAGTGCCATATACAGGGTGTTCCATTTATAAAAAATCATCCCGATTCACTTACACTTTTATTTCACCCTTTATAGAAGTTTTAATATTTTCCTGAAATATCCTAAAGTTTATTTTGTATTTAACATTTGACCCTGTATGTTTCATTGGAGTTGTAACAGACATCTGAGTGAAGGTACTTTCTAGAGAAGAAAATTAATTATAAGATATTGATTGCTTTCTCAGTTGATTTTGAACTGTCCTAGAATGGTGCGCAAGAACGTGAAATAATTTATCCGTATTTCCTTCTGCGTATGCGTATTACAGTTCTAGGGCGGTTCAGAATCGGTAATAACAGGAAACGAAAAAAGCTATTAAAAAAATATTTTTTTTTTTTTTTTTAGTTTTTTAAAAATGTAATGTGTTTTTATGATATGTGTGATATGTCACTACCTGTGAGGAATACAAACTATTAAATGCATGGGGTGGTACGGACATAGGGCGATATTTTGGTGGTTTGGCTGGTACACCTCTCGGCAATCTGGCAACCCAACTGTCATTCTGGCTTTTGTTTGAGTTCTTATAGGGATATGTGTTATAGATATGATTCTAGAAAAAGATCATGCAACATGTATGAGTATGACGTTCGCACTATTGTCACACAGTGTTTGGTTAAGTCAGCAAATTAGATGATTTCTCCAAACTTAAAAATATATAAAATAAGTTAGAAATTGACATCATCAGCCTTTGATAACTATTTTGTAAGAAAATATAAAATTTCTTGGAAAAAAAAATAATTAATATGCTAATTAAATTCCAGTTTTAGTTCATATTTCTTCAGTTTAGTTTTTTAAAATAATAAATAATTCCTGATAACTCTTAATATTTTATCTAATAATATATAAATCACGATATCAAAATAGGAAAGAATATTAAGCCACAGGTTATATGGCCAGCCAATGGTATAATCATTTACAAAACATCCCCCTTTAGAACATTTTCTTTAATGACAATAACTGGGAATAAAAGCTAAACTTTGCAAACAGTCGCCAGAGGCGCTACCAGTCTTTATAATGACAGTCAATTATTGACGTATAGTCATAATATTCAATTAATATTCATATTAATATTGATTTATTTTTAAAATTTGTCGAAATCTGTTTTTAATTCTATTTTGTGAATATTTTGGTGTGCGATTTTGTGAATATTTTGGTGGCAACTGCACTTTCTTTAATTAATGGTGTAATTATTCATGTTTTCTTAAGTACATTTGTATTTTAGATTACTATTTAAATTCACATTGGTGTATTTTAATGGAAAACTCAAACTTTCGAGAAGTGTAGAGTTCCTAATTAGGAAAATAAAAATGTTTTTTTTGTTTTCTAAATTCCCCGAAATATCTGAAGAAGCACTTTTATTTAATAATTGTATTTTAGCATATTCCATTTAATTTTAATATTTATGTGTTTCGTTACATTTAATTTTTTTAAAGTAAAATTAAATATGATTATTGAAAATGCATATTATTTCATAATTTTAATGCCCGAACAAACTCAAGAGGGCGCTTCTTTAACTTTTATTGCTTAACATGTAATTACATCATTTTTAACTAGTATAGTATACTGTCATGTATGTGTCAACAAAAAAAGAATACGAAAAATTGACGTAAATTGTTAATATAATTTAGTTCTCGTTAACTAAAAATAACTAAGAAGAAATGTGATAGAATTTAATGATAGGAGATGGAAAAAAAGTGGAGACCACAGTTCGCATAGAGCATAGAGAACAATTAGTGTAAACATAGAAAACTAATAGATAAAGAAATATCAAATAAGTACTCTAAGATACTATCAAAAACAGTAGAATAATATATAATGACACAACGAATAAATTAGAAAAACTTAACGTAGCTCTTTATTAATTATTAGACAGTTAAAGCACGGCCAAAGACATAGACGTAAACGTATCGTTTGACACGTACGGCTTGCGCAGTGAGAAATTCACTTTGTGTTTACGGATACGTGATACGTATCTTTACGTGCCTTTACGTACGTGCAAAATGCAAACGTATCGAACCGAAGGAGTTTCGATTTTCACCTGAATGATGCCAAACGTACAAATTCACAAACAACTCGTTTCCACAACTGGCTAGTAATTAAGTTGTTTCATAAATTTTGGGGCCAGTGTAACAGAACTGGGCAAATTTTAATGCAATAAATTTGTATGAAAATATTAATCATAATACACTCATTTTGGAATATATTTAATTAAATGTTAGTTCTTACCCAAAATCCATATGAGGATTCTAAAAGATGGAATGTAATAAATAATCATAAAACTGTGTCTGTTTTCTAATATTTTTTATTACTAAGAGCATTTTAAGTTGTAAGGACTACTTTCTGTAATAAAATAATTTCCATTTATAATTTTTTCATTTTTCGATATTACTTTTATAAATTTAATGTGGAATCAATGGAATAATATCTATCCATTTTCAGTTTTAAAATTAAATAAATTGTTTCACAAAATAATTTAGAATTACAAATGTACCATTAATTTGCGATACGTACGTCAAAATACTTGCTTTAACTCTTGTTTACACGACAACGCAACGGCAGACGTAACGTAGGTTTCTGCGTTACGTGTCGAGAGATACGTATACGTATTGTCCTTGCTTTAACTGTCTATTATAACTTAAAGCGGAACTCTAGAACTTGGAAGACTCCATCCGAAATCTGGAATGGGAATTCTCCAACAGTCTAAGACACTCCAAGAAATTTCTTAGAACTTACGATCGAGAAAAATCAAAGATTTTCCTTGATTTAAGTAAGAACAATCTTCAAATTGTCACGGTTTTTTAAGAGGACACTGCCTCATCAATGAACACCTCAGTCGATTTAAGCTAAGAATGCAGATTCTGTGGGAAAATGGGGAATACCTCATCACTGCAGACGACAACCATTTGTGCTTCAACTTTGGTACGACTGATATCGGAGATGGAGAACCGTCTGAGATACTGGCTTTTAACAAAGTTCTGAAGCTGTATGATGAGTTATAACTCAAGAAAAGGGACATAACAAGTCTGTAAAATTGGTTAGGTTAGTTATTAACTTCCCCCCTCTCATAGATTTTACATTCTACATTTTATTAATAATTATCAAAACATTTTGTACTGACGACGCGACGTGCTCACAACTTTGAATTTCACTATAGAATACCTGTTTTAAGATATCTTGATTAAAGATGGTAGAAATCCTATTGGTTCCTGCTTCAATTCCTTATCCTTCTCAGCGTATTTGTCCAAGTCCGAAATAATTTCCTTTAAACTGTTTTTATATTTTCTTCTTTAATCTCAGCCTTATTCTCTGCATTGCTGTTTAATATTCTTGGGATATCTGTATTACTGTCGCTTGTCAAGGTAATCTGTGGTACAGGTGGAGGTTGAGGAGAAGACAGTGGAGGTTCTAAGTCAGATAACCTCAAAGGAGACAGAGGTTCAACTGGAACATAACCCGAAGGTAACCAGTTAGTTGCTTCCTGGTTATTATTTGAGTCTATTGGTATTTCAGTTATTTTTTCCGGTGGTTTTACTGGTTGAGTTTGCTCTTGTGTACCAGCTGAAAATGTTACCGGTCTAAAACTATGAACATTTTGACCATTATTAAGATTCTGATTTACACCGTTAAACCCATTTACACTGATATTGTTTTCTTGTTTAACAGGTTCCTTGATTAGTTCTATACCACCTATTTTAGCTAAAGCGTCAGAATATATATCTTCAATTTCTTTTACAATGGGTTCTTTATTAACTGTACCGGTTAACTGCTTAGTTAGCTCAAAAGATTTTGGTGCCTCGAATGGTTTAAGAGGTTCAAAAGCTTTCACTGGCTCAAATGGTTTTAAAGGTTCAAAAGGTTTGAGTGGTTCGAAGGATTTGGTCGGTTCCAATGGTAGGGGTTTATAAAAGCCTGCTGGTGATGTGTTCCGCACGTACTTGATGGTTTCTTTTTTCTTGTTGGTCCTAATAAAGACACAAAATTTATAATATATATTTTTAGTCTAAATTTAAGTAACGTTTTGTTAGTTCAGCTACATTTTACATTTTATACTGTAAACAGCTATGGGTAAAAAAGCCATGAAAGACACCGAGACATCAAACTTACCAGAATTCGTTCTCTTACAACTAGAGTCCACAATAGGAATAAGTCTCTGAAAAACTATGTAAATATTAATTGTTTAAGTTTTTGAACTAATTTTTATTGACGTACTGTTGTTGTAATTTTACTTTTCTATATTTATACAATTTTTAATTGCAAAATCTAAATAAAATGTCATATTTTGATACTATTTATCAATATTTTTATATACACTAAGCAAATAGAACCTATGACAAGATTTAAGTGTTCATAAGATACGCTCATCGGCACGAAAAAGAGACACCTTAAAATTTTGATGTATTTTGAAGTTTAATATATTTTGTTCTACCGATTTTGATGATTTTTAAGCAGTATGTGGCTAAATTATTTGACTTTTTAGTATCTCTTTCTAAGTTAAAAATGAAAGTTTGCATCTGTCAAATATACGAAGAAAAACTAAATGTTTATATTTTGGTGAAAGTTTGAATCACCCTATGGAATATGTTAAGGCAGAACGGAATTTACAAATCCCTCTATCATCTAGGCACATCCTCTCTCATTATTTTGTTTTTTGGTTCATCTCAATAGTTTTATTTCTATTTTTTTGTTCTTTGTGTTTTTTTTGCTTCCGATGACGGAAAGAGATATACTTTACGAAACGTTAAGCATTTTTTGTCCGTTAGGCAAATTTGTTTATTATTAAACCACTGCTGACAGTTAGTCTCTGTTGGATACAAACGCAGCAGTGTTTACAAAAATAACTATTTTACTTTGTAGATTTTTCTTACAGTGGCGAAATACCCATAGGACTTCTTTGGGGAGATGAATCCGTCACACACTTAGATGTATAGACATTTTTTAGTTTTTTTTTGTTGAACATATTCGCATTTAAAAACGTTAACATTTTTTGTAATTTTAACATTAAAACCATACCTTTCCTTTTGTTTCTTAGCGATAAACTTACAATAAATCGATCGACTCGATTCGAAGTGCTCATACAAACGCTGCTGAACATCTAGCAGATAAACTTATTTCGAGAAGGTGATTGCACTGTACTTCGTGTACACGTAAATCTGTTAGCGACATAATTTTGATCTCTATCATCTTCAATTAAAGCAACTCTAGCGGATACAGCTTTTGGACGTAAAACCATATCTGCTAGAGTAACTGCCCAACAGCCAACAGACAATAATAGTATGATTTTTCAATAACAGTGACATTATATAATTCATAAACACCATTTCATAGGTCTGTTGACTGAGACCAAAAGCAAAGGCATGGTTTTAATGTAAAAATTACCAAAAAATGTTAGTGGCTTCTTCAAAAGCGAATATATCTAAAAAACAATAAAGCTATTGAGATGAAGTAAAAGATAAACTATCGGAAAAATATGCATCTAGATGATAAAATTATTTTCATATTCCTTGCTTTTTTAACATATTCCACAGAGGGTTCCAAACTTTTACCAAAATAACAGCATTTTGTGTTCCCTTGTATAGTTGACAGATGGGAACCGGAAGAGAGACATTTTTTAATTTAAGTCAAATAATTTAGCTACAAATTGCTTAAAATATCATCAAAATCGGTCCGCTAGAACACAATATACAGGATGCTACAAATTCGAGGTACGAGCATTGGTATCTCGGAAACCGTAATAGATGGTTCAATTGGGGCAAAGTTGCTCCTTTAGATGTTCACCAAGATGCCAACAAAAAAGTTTTAGAAATTTAAGGATTGCTGAGTTTTTTGGAAAAAAACGATTTTTGTGAAAATCGATTTTATGTTTTCCTGTCGTTATTTTTTAGAAAATCAAAAAACTAATAGCACATTCTCATAGCCACTTTATTAGGGCTATCTGACAGTATTTTTAGATTTTCAAATTAACTCACAATTTGTGAAATTCAAATTTTTTTAAATACGGACCTGCATTTTATATTTCAGGTTTTAAAAGAGCTCGGTCTACTGAGTATAATGATTGATACTTTTCCATGTCCCCCTACAACAGTTGTAGATTATGAGTTATAGATTTTATAATGAGTTATAACTAAGAAAGAGGAACACAATAGATCTTTCAGGTTGCGGTGATTAACTCCTCCCATTGATTCATATTCCACAATATTTACCATTTTGTATCGAGCTCATACTAAGAGGATTCTTTATGAAAAACAATCTGGAGAATCTTTAATTTTTTTCACAGGTAAATTCCAGAATTTTTCTGGGTATAGGAATTGTTTTGGGATCTCACAAGCTCTTAAAATACTCAATAAAAAATCCAGAACTGCACTACTAAAAAATAAAGTTGATGATGACAGGTCAGTCGAAAAGCCGTCGCGTCGCGCGTCGCTTTGAAAATCTGATTGTAGACAACACCAACTTGTAAAACAAAAAGTAAAGTAATGAGAATATAAAACACTTTGTTTTATCTAATCGAATGGAGTCATAAAAATAAATATAAAAATCATGAATATTCCAATTCTTTTAAACTTTTAAGGTGACATTTTGATCAGCATCAAACTGTGCAACTTTGTCTCCATTTAACCTACCTTGTATCACTTGCACATTTTCCAAGATCCCAAACAGTGATGAAATTCGAATTTGGAACACCCTGTACAATTTTTTTTTTTTTTTTTTTTTTTATTATATATTTATGTATCAAAACGTCTAAAAAATCTACTTGTTGCAAAGGAATGTCCTTCACGTTTGGTTTAAAAAAACGCATAAACTATAAAGCCGAATTTGACGCAGAATGAGAAAAAAATAAAAAAAAAAAAAAAAAAAAATATTTGCTACACATTTTAATTTTGATAAATCTTACTGTAAATTTACAACAATGCAAATCCCATTACCTTAATACATTAAAACTTATAGCAATACGTAACTGAACGAAGTACGTACTGAGCAAC